AATGGGGACTATCTTAATGGTTTCTTGGTGCCACATCTGTTTGATTTCGTCTGCTAAAGGTATGTATTTTTTGTATTTTTTCAGTGTGTTTCTGTTTTAAGTTGTCTGTATTGGGAACGGCAATATCTATGAGGTACCTACCTCTTCTTCTTTGTAGATTTAACAGTTAGTGTTATATCAGTTCTGTTATTATTATTATTACTATTATTGTAGGGTGGTTTCATTCGGGGCATATGTAGCCCCTCATCACTGCGACCATCAGTTGATCTAATCGCGATCACCTCTAATTACAGTTCGGAGCCAAGGCCGACAGCATTGAAGAACTGAATGACTTTCCTGGCTCCGACAGATTTAATGTCCTCTGGTTGTGGCATGTGCCTTCCCAGTATGGAGCTTCGTACGCCCATCAGGGGGTCATATTGGGTGAGAAGATGAGCAGGAGTTTAATTCGCCTCGTGTCAGAATCTACACTCTATTCTCTCTCTGCCCAATATCTGACATGTGCTTGTTCAAGCCACAATGTCCTGTTAAGACTCTAGTGAGCATTCTGATGCCATTCCTGTCTAATGACAGTCAAAATTATGTTAAATCAAAGTAAGTGCGTAAGTAATAAAATAATTAAGTTACCTTATCAGTGTTGTCACTGCCAGTGTCCAATTAAAATAACAAACCATCATGACTACAGCTCCCGGGAAAGTAAACACTTTATTGTTCGGTACCAGTACTGAAGGCCAATTTCCCGGTTAAACTCGACTCGTTCGGTTACTAATGCGCTTGATATCGTCTTATATTCAAGTAAAGTTTGAATTGATAATTGTATAAGAACGACGTGAAAAATGCTTAAAACTCCTATTTACATAATACAAAATTGTGCCAAAATTTAAAAAGGACTATGTATTTGCAACTTCATTGAAATCAATGATTACTATAATTCAATTACAAATTAGCGCTAAAGGAATATATTATTATTATATTTGCTAAATAATATGTTTTGATTGATTGTTTGCTTAGACTGATTTAATAATAATTTTATTAATATGTTAATTTTGCTTTCAAAGATAAGTAACGTGATATTTTTTCCGTGCTTTTTATTTGAATTTATGTTAAATTTAAAATTAAATATTGTTATACCGAAGTTTTTCGGGATTTCTCGGTGTCAATTTTTACAGGTACCGCCAAATGCAAATCTGCACAATACGTTTATTGCAATGCCTAATGATGACGTCACAAAAATGCGGGTAGTGCCACCTCACGGCTCATGGCCGTTGTTGGTATATAGAAAAATCTTTACATTTGATCGAAATTTTTCGCTAGTTTATGGTTACGGATCCAAATTTCTATGATGGTTATGCTTCTTTCTAATTTTAAAAACGCAACTTAATATGTAAATAAATGTTTAATACCCATAGTTACGAAAGCATTAAAGTCATCTTTTTAGATCCTATAAATAAGGACGACCGTTTCTTTAAGTGAAGGTCATTATATTAGATAGCTATATAGTAGGTATGCCGCGGATGTGGGGTATGACGACATTTGCAGATGCGCATGTGGACGCGAATATTTTCACCTTCTAATCTACAGATGCGTGAAAAAATAGGTTTTCTCCAAAATATTTATTATGGAAAAAATTCTTGATCCACATTTGCCGATCAAGCCTGGTGATCATTGACTTATTTTAAGAGATTAGTTTGAAAATATATATTGGTTTTACATAATTATGTTCGAAGAGACATGGATGGGACATTATATTTATAAATACTGTATATGATGACCCAATTACACATATAAATAATAATTTTGCAGTATTTTCGGGACTTAGTCTATTTTTAAGTGGAAGTTAAATTAAGCCCGTGCTGTTAAAAGCTGTTCACTTAGAGCTATCTTTTATACTTAAACTTACTTACGAAATTCAACAAGCTGTGACGAAAATCAATTTAAATTCAAACAAAATGTTCCCA